GGTGCTGTCTACCTCCCCCACCTCCTTCGTCTCTCCTCCCACCTTTCATCTGTGTATGTGTGTATGGGGCCTGAGCATCTTCCATGTATGGCTCAGACCCCACCATCTCACGATTGTATGTGTGTGGAGTGATATCTGTGTGAGTCAGTCTATGTGAGTCAGTCCGTTATCAGACTTCCGCTGCATACATGCTCATCCTCTATTGGTTGATCTTTGGTTCTGCCCCATGCACGTTGATATTCTCACGAGTATGTAACAGTTTTGGTATCGGAGCAGACCATTTTACGGATCTGCTCACCAGGTAAGTCTGATTAGGAATTAGATTGCTTCTTCAATCTTCCAAATCAGCTCTGTATTACTATCGAGTTTCAAAGTTGCAATTTTTTTTCTTTTTTTTGGGATTCTGTTTATTTCGGCATTTCCGTTTCATTCGGGTTTCGGACTTGTAATTCGGATTTGTGTTTTACTCCGGTATGCTGTTTAATTTGAGTTCCGATAAATCGATACCAAATCCGACATTCTGTTTAATTCGGATTTCTGATTATTGATTCGTAATTAGGTTGAAATCAGTACTCTGTTTAATTCGGCATTCTGATTTTCATTTCGGTTCCCGTTTTTATAATCCAGCATTCTGATTTTAATCCTGTATTCCGTTTTCTAAATTGGCAGTTCCGTTTTATTGCAGTATGGGAAATTAGGGTTACGAAAACTTTCGGTTTTCGATCAACTTGGGAAATTCGAACGTTTTGGAACCGTAAATCCGGAAATTCCGCGGAATCGCGGAAAATTAGGGTTGGACTCCGAAATTTTCGCGAATTTTTTTTTTTCTCTCCCTTGTTTGAGAAATTCCGAAAACGGACTTAGGCCTTTAAAAATCGGATTTTGACGGTGGAAATTCCTGAAATTTCACGTTTTTGAAAATTTGAGTGTTTTTCTTCTGATTTTTTTCCCAATTTTTTTTTTGGCGAACTAATCCGTATCTGACCCTCAGAATTGCAACTTCCGGGTAGTTCACTAATTAACGGTGAACTCCCGGACTAAAGATGATCTCAATGGATACCTAATCTTGACCTAATTCAAATTCGTTCATTATCATTATTGCAAATATTGTTTTAGTGATTATCGTTCATTATTGCAAATATTGTTTTAGTGATTATCATTCATTATTGCAAATATTGTTTTATGTGATTATCATAAAGAATTATTATTTCGTATTAATCATTAATTAAACTTTATTGATTAAATAATTCATTATTATTTTCTTATTACGAATTTTTGAATTGTTTACGGGAAATTTATTTTTTTCTGTTGATTAGGTGTCTACAGTCCATCAGTGGGACAGGGGCTGTATGTGAAGTGTTTTGATTGTTCTACCCCTGTTCCCACTCTCCCTACCCTCCCCGTAATCTGTGACCACCGGGATGTCTCAGGTACCACATCAGCCAGAGCTGATGTCGGCGGAACAGGACACCGGGGCACTGCCACGACGCAGTGCCAGGCTTGGAGTTCGTGCCCAACCTGTGGTACCTCCACGAACCAAGGCTCAGCAACAGAGACTCAGCAGGCGGACGACTCCAGCGGCATCGAGTACAGCATTGACGGTACCGGTTACCACCGGAGTTCTTCCCGCATGTCCGGTCCGAGGGACCCTTGAACCGCTGGCTGACTACCTGGGGCGGCTACAGGTATTCACGGATGCCGTAGCTACCGCCAAGGCTCAGCAGGAGGCAGCAGAGGCAGAACGTCAGCGGCTGGCCAATGAGACGGCAGCCCAAGCTCAGCACACTGCTGAGGCTGATGCAGCAGCACGAGACCAACGGAATGCCGCTAGCACGGAGTCCCTGATTCATAGTGAGAATCAGTGGACAATGTTCCTCTAAGGCATGATCTTTGTGCCTTCGGACGCGCAGGCAGATCCGACACCGGCGGAGGCAGAGAGGACTCACCTGGCTAACTTGATGCTGGGCATGATGAGAGGAATCATGTGGAATAACACACTGCTGCAGGCACATCTGCGCACGGAACGACAACAAAGACAGAAGTACCAGCAAGACATTGCTGTTTTAACAGCTGCCATCCGCGCCGAAGCAACACAGCAGCAGCAACAGCATCAGCTGTTGAACTCCGCTCTCGCACGCATCAACAGCATTGAGACTAATGCCTCAGCAGCGCCAGGCTGCACGACAGACGCGACGAAGCAGCTCAACGAGCGCATCGATCACATCGTCACTATCATTGGCGAACTAGGTGATTTCACAAGTCCGGCCGCGATCAGCAGCACAATGGCCGCCATCAAGACGAGCATCACCAACCTGCAGACAAGCCGCACTTCGACATCAGCAAGTTCGACGACTACAACAAGTCGGACGCCTTGACATGGTGGCAACGTTTCCTCACGGAAGCATCTTGCCGCACTGTCCCGGCTGACGACATGATGAAGGCGCTCTACTTACAACTGGTTGGAGGAGCGCAGGCCTGGATGAACCATCTGGCGGCTACCAAGAAATGCACCATCGCCGAACTCCACACGCACATCCCGTGGAAGGAGTTCGAGAAGCTATGGTTCACTTGGTTCATGGTCCGCAAAGTCGTGAAGGCAGCCATGAACGAGGTGTACACCTGCTCTCAAGGGAATATGCCAACTCGAGACTGGACAACCAAGTGACAAAAGATAGTGACCACGCCAGGCTTCGATTTGAGTTTTACCAATCAACGATCCGAGTTTTTCTCGCGATCATGCGCAGGACTGTGAACCGCACTTGGCAACGAGTACGATTACGCCTCATTCCAGGCTATCCTGGATCGTGCGAACTTGGTCATCCAAACGGATGACAAGGCCGCAAACGAATGGCAGTCCCAGCCGCATTATGTGGCTAAGTCGGGCTATCAACGACCGACACATAACAATGCCGTGATTTCTGACGAAACAGTCGATCTCCACGCTGCAGCAGCATCCTCGAGTGATGGAGGAATTGTAGCAGCGCTCCCGCCGAGGCGTCCCAAGAGAGTTTGGAAGAACAAGGCGACACAAGAGACGGCATCGACGGGAACTGGGCAGCAGCCATGGACGGTATACAAGATCACCAAGGAAATCTATGACCTTCGTCAACGGTACGGATATTGCCTTTGGTGCAATGGAGTCACTCATTTAACCGCATAGTGCCCCAAAAAGGGCAAGGCACGCGTACCCCGTCCAACGAACTCGGGAAATTGAGTTACGCAAGGAGAGGGGCGACGTCTCTCCTCACTCCGCCGGACCCGGTTGCCTTGCTAGCAATCGATGTCACTACCGGGGAGCATGCGTTAGTCGCTGATTCTCGTGCTACGTACGAGGATTATGCCGCCCAGCTGGTACCACCACTAGACCAGCCAAGCCACGTGCACTTAGATTGCGTATGCCAAGCCTGTACACCGTCGGCAAGTGATCCGGTCAGTTCGCCACTGATTTCCGAGGACTCGACGGCGTGGTCAAGACTTGAGGAGCTTGACCCGCTCACGAGAGAGGACTTCGCTTGGATGCCTCTACCCTCAACCGGAACCTTGCCAAGGCCGCATTGCAATGCCTTGATGGCCAATCTACGCTCCTATTTGCACGCTACAGTACCAGCTCCGTTGACGGACGACGGAGTAGCGGTTGTCGATCTCCACTCCTATCTTGCGAAGGTTGACCGCGAGTACGCCACCCAAAGGTACGCCGGAACCGACGCCCCTTTGCTCTATATCCGCATTCAAATCGGAAAGGCAACCTGTAGGGCCTTGATTGATTGCGGAGCGTCTCGCAACTTTATGAGCCAAGCCTTTATGGCCCGCGCAGGCCTTGGCCCGCGCGTTCGAAGGAAGACACAACCCACGCAAGTTACACTCGCGGACGGCCGCACGCAAAAGTCAATTGACCGATGCGTCGACGGCGTTCCGGTATACTTTGCGCCACTTGCGTGCAAGCCGGTGTCTTTTCACATCCTCGACACCAAGTTCGACATGATTCTAGGCATGTCTTGGTTGCGTAGCGTCGATCATCCGGTGAACTTTCATGACCGAACCGTTTACATCCGTGATCGGAACGGAGTGTTAGTCCCATGTACGGTCGCGGCCCCTCACACTTCGATTGCTTGTCACGTGGTTTCCGTTGCAAGAATTTGCGACGCCATAGCTCGGAATGACGTCGAGGAGATGGGCCTTGTATTCTTGCATGCTCTCCCCTCGCCTGACGGACCAGCCGCGTCACCGCCGGACCCATGCATCACTCACCTCTTGGACGAGTATGGAGACGTCTTCGAGGCTCCCACCGGAACGGTTCCGGATCGGCCCATACGTCACGGGATCACTCTCGAGGCTGGCGCCATCCCTCCGCGTGGATGTATCTACCGCATGAGCGAAGAGGAACTCGAGGTGCTTCGCGCACAACTCGATGACCTTCTCGACAAGGGCTAGATTCGCCCTAGTTGCTTGCCATACGGTGCCCCTGTTCTCTTCGTCCGGAAGAAGAACAAAGATCTACGGTTATGCATCGATTATCGCAAACTTAACGCACAAACCGTTAAGAACGCCGGCCCTCTCCCTCGGATTGATGATCTYCTTGATCGGTTAGGCGGCGCGACGTACTTCTCGAAGTTGGATTTGAAGTCAGGTTACCACCAGATTGAAATCCAGCCTCAAGATCGGTACAAGACCGCGTTCAAGACGCGGTACGGGCATTTTGAGTGGGTTGTCATGCCTTTTGGCCTCACCAATGCCCCCGCGACTTTTCAAGCAGCTATGACGACCGAGTTTCGCGACTTGCTCGATCGCAGCGTCCTCATCTACCTCGATGACATTTTGGTCTATAGCAGGACGTTGGACGAGCACATCATACACCTTCGCGCTGTTTTGAATCGTTTGCGACTAGCCAAGTACAAAGCAAACCGTGACAAGTGCGAGTTCGCCAAGCAGGAGCTTGAGTATTTGGGCCACTATGTTATGCCGAAAGGCATTCGTCCCTTAGCGGACAAGATCCAAGCCATCGTGGATTGGCCGGAACCCCGTTGCACGACGAATGTACGCTCTTTCATGGGTTTGGCTGGATATTATCAGCGATTCGTCGAGTCATACTCGAAAGTAGCCGCYCCTTTGTCGAGACTTCAGTCCCCGAAGGTGCCCTTCGAGTTCGACGACGCAGCCCGTGGCACGTTCACTACGTTGAAGGCAGCAATGCAAGCCGCACCTGCCCTCCGTATATACGACCCCACCCTHCCCACCCAAGTGACTACGGACGCTTCGGGATACAGTATTGGTGTGGTGTTGGAACAGTGTCACGAGGACGGTTGGCATCCGGTCGAGTATTTCTCCCAAAATGTGCCTCTCGTCAACACTCTCGACGACGCTAGGAAGAAAGAGCTACTCGCGTTCGTCGCCGTTCTTAAACGGTGGCGCCACTTTCTTCTCGACTGTCGGCGTTTTAAATGGAACACGGACAACCATCCGTTGACCTTTTACAAAACGCAGGATACGGTCACTAGCACGATCGGTCGATGGATGTATTACATCGACCAGTTCGACTTTGACCCGTGCCACATTCCCGGTCCCGCTAATCGAGCTGCGGACGCCCTCTCACGACGGCCCGATTTTTGTGCCATTGTGACCACGGCATTCGACCTCGAGGACGATCTGCAGCCGCATTTCGTCAAAGGCTACAAGTCCGATCCGACTTACTCTACGCTTTATGCGGAGCTTTCATCGGATCACCCGCCGGCTAGCCACTATCGGATTTCCGACGGGTTCCTTCTCCTTCACACGAGAGGAAAAGACTTGTTAGTTGTGCCCCAAGATCGCATCTTACGGATTCATCTTCTCGGCAAATTCCACGACGCACGACTTTTGGCACACCTTGGCGTGAACCGCACATTAGCACGCCTCCGCCAGCGTTTTCACTGGCTCGACGTCCTTCATGACATCACGAGGTACATTGAGTCATGTGCAGTTTGACACCGTAACAAGGGTCGATCTCGAGTCCCCTTTGGAGAACTGAAACCATTGCCGATTCCTCGGGCACTGCGCCTCTCCATTGCTATGGACGTGACAGGCCCGTTCCCCCGCGATCGCCATGGCCATGACGGCATTCTCATGGTTGTTGACCGTTTGAGCAAGTATGCTCGCTTCCTTCCTTGCAAGTATCATGCTGCAGCGCCTGAGCTCGCACGACTCTTGCACACCGGTTGGATTACCAACCAGGGTGTTCCGGAAGACATAGTGAGCGACCGAGATACTCGCTTCATGTCGGCCTTTTGGACTTCCCTCATGGCTGAGTCCGGTACAACAATGAAGCCGAGCTCGGCTCGGCACCCGTAGACGGATGGCCAGACGGAGCGAGCGCACCAGACCGCTCAAACGATGTTGTATCCGTCCCGACCAGAAAGATTGGGTTGACCGGCTTCCTGACATTGAGTTCGCCTATAACACTTCGGTGCACCCGACGATCTGCGTCACACCATTCGAGCTACATCATGGTGGAGAGAGCACGGATCTTCGCTGATCTCCTTTTGCCACAGGCTGCCGACATAGACGTCCCTTGCTCTCCCGCTTCCGTTCGGAAGTATCGGGACTTGCTGATCAAAGCCCGCGCAAATATGCAGAAGGCTCAAATCCGCATGCAGCAGCAAGCTAACCGACGTCGACTTCCATGTCCTTTCCGCGAGGGAGACCTTGTTTGGGTCCTCTCCGAGGAATTTGCGCTCGAGCAGGACGTTTTGCGCAAACTCCTTCCGAAATGGTTCGGACCATGGGAAGTCACTTCTGCCGTTGGAGACGACCCCGCAGGTCCTTCCTTCGTGATCAACATCCCTCCGCACCTTACAGTGCACCGGGTCTTCCACGCGTCGAAGCTGGCCATCTACACGCCACCTTCCACCGACGAGTTCTCCGGTCGTCGATCACAGGATCCGCCTTCTATGGACGGATATCAGGAAGTGGACCGAGTCATCACGCACCGCAAGTATGGCAACAAGCCAATGCAGTTCAAAGTCACATTCAAGCAATGTGCGCCTGACGACACTCGGTGGATCTCTAGTGCAGACTTGCAGACTTCTGCACCCCTTATCTTCGCCGACTATGAGAAGCGACGCCTTGCCAAGGAAGCAGCTCGTCCCACCCGACCCATCCCGGTATCGGACAGACAACTTCGCCCTCGCAGGTAGCTCGGTCTTTTAAGAGGGGGCGTGTGTTACATCTTCGACACCACACGGGTCCTACCGGACCCGACTTAGGGCCAGAGGGGCACATTAGGGCCTAAAGGCTCGACCTTGGGGTACTACAGGCCGTAAAGGCCTCATCTTGGACCAGACCCGACGGGCAGGCCCAAACGACATTACCGTTTGGGCCTGGCGGCGCTCTTGAGGCTGCCGCCCGCCGGTTGGGGCTGAACCGTCCATCTGGACGGTTCAGGGCACGGCCAGGCCTCGCAGCA